ACATGGAGCAGGGGATTGCCAGCCTACAATCTACACTGACAGAGAAGCTAGGAAACAAGGAGGACCCTAAGAGAGACACACATAGTCCCCAAGAGAAGGGACAAGACCTCCTAAGCTAATGGGGATCATGGGGGAGGGGAGAGGGAGTTAGGAGAGGAGGACATGACGGAGAAGGAAGATCTAGTCAGGGGAGGAATGGAGGAGAGCAAGAAAAGGGATACCATCATAGAGGGAGCCATTATAGTTTTAAAGAGAATTCTGGCCCTAGGGAAATGTCCAGAGATCTACAAGGTCGACCCCAAGTAACAATCTAAGCAATAGTGGAGAGGTGACCTTAAAAGCTCTTCTCCGATAATGAGGTTGATGACTACCTTACATGCCATCCTAGTGCCTTCATCCAGTAGCTGATGGAAGCAGAAGCAGACACCCACAGCTAAACACTGAGCTGAACTCTGGAATCCAGTTGCAGAGAGGAAGGAATAGTGAGCCAAGGGGTCAAGACCAGGCTGGAGAAACCCACAGAAACAGCTGACATGAACAAAGGGGAGCTCATGGACCCCAGACTGATAGCTGGGAAACCAGCATAGAACTGTTCCAGACCCCCTGAAGGAGGAAATCAGTTTGGAGGTCTGGACAATCTACAGGGCCACTGGAAGTGGACCAGTATTTACCACTTTGGAGCCCACTCCTCATAGAGGAATACTCTCGTAGCCTAGACACACTGGGGAGGGTCTAGACCCTGCTCCAAATGATATGACAGACTTTGAATATCCCCCAAAGAAGGCCTTACCCTCCCTGGGGAGCAGAAAAGAGTTGGGATGGGGGGGTCAGTGGGGGGCAGGAGAGGAGGGGAGAGAGAGGGAACTGAGATTGACATGTAAAAGAAGCTTGTTTCTAATTTAAATAAATAAAAAAGAAATAGCATTGAAATTTTCATTCCCAATGTTATATTTTAAATAGCCTAATGTAAAAAAAATAACCAACACATAAATAAAAAATTATTTATAAAAAGCCAACATGCACAAAGCAGCCAACCATGAAAAAGCTATGCCAAAGCAGTGTTTAAATAGACATTTACTCAAAAATATGAAACAGACATTCCCAACCCTCCATCACAAAACCTAGCCCCAGGGGCTGGCCCTGCTCAGGTCCTAGCTGTGTCTGATTGGTGCTTGGTTTCTGGAGTGCAGACAGGTTAAGAGCACTTACTTGATCATCTGTGGCACGGTGACCTTGGAATTTTCTTCAAATGCATTCATCATGAGTCCATTGCACCGGATATTGTCCACACACTAGAAACAGAGGGGACCCAGCGCTCAGAACTCAGTCTCCGTACTGGATCCCAGACCCACTTGGAGCTCTCCCAGCCTGCACACAGGGTCCTCAGGCTTCAAGGGCACTGTCTAGGTAAGTGTAAGGTCAACACAGGGTCATTCAAGTTCTGGAAGTCAAGTGACCTTTCGAGACTGACTTAGTCTTCTTGAGTCTGTTTCCCAATCTTCCCAGATGGGTTTAGTGACTCTTGCTTTATTTACCAGGGTATTTGTCAAGCAGATGCATCAGACTCTGGCCTCTCTGCTGCATCCTTTGAGGCCACTGCCAAGGCTCACTGGGGACAGGAAAGGGCTGGGTTTGATCTCTCCATTTTCTCCAGGGCACACTGTTTTTTGGGAGGTGGGTATGGGGGGGGTTAAAACTCAAAAGAATAGATTTACACTATACATAATCCCATGTTGCCTTGGTTCTCTGTGGATTCTAGAGGCGCAGGTTGCCAGAAGGTCTAGCCACCTGATGTCCCCTGGACCAAGCAATGTTGACGTCTGCAACTTTATGGACTGCCTGGACGTTCAGTTCAATTTAGAGTTCCACAATATGAAAGTAAGTCCTTGGTATTTTATTATTGGTGTTTATCTGGAAGGTTCTTGCAACTCTTTTTTCCCTTTAGTGTTGGAGATCAAACCCTGCTTTGGAGCAGGACACACCAGGCAGCTAGTGAGGGAGCTCTAGGGACACTGGGTATCCAAGTCTCCTAAGCATGCCTGCACAGCCTTGCAGAGCACATGTCCACAGGCAGACCCCTGGGACCTGGCTCCTGACTTTGTGGGACTGCCCTTTGCCTTGTGGAGCACAAGCCTGCTGGAGCTGCTGACAACCCTGTTACTCCATTCAACTTTCCACCTCTTACACTTCCAGTGCCCAAAAGTCCTGGGCTGCTGCCTTTCCAGGAGAAGCCAATGCTTCCTGCCTAATGGTTAAATGGGGGTGAGATGAGGGAACAACTCTACAGCTTGCGACAAGCAAAAGACACAAATTTCTCTGCCATATGGATGCAGGCTAGGACTTCAGGAGGCTGCCCTGGTTCTCTGCAGTAGGTGCCCAAGTGTCTCAGGACTGTGGAGCTCTCTCTTCAAGCTCTGCTGCATCTAGCATTCTTGGTTGGCAGCACCAAGACGTCTTGTGTATGTGCATATAAGCACCTGGAGATCAGACTGAAGTGCAGACACCCTTGCCATTCACAGGCCTGGGGAGCAGAGCCTGGCAGTCTTAGGGTTTAAAACCACACTGCAAATAGTATGCACTGGCTGACTGTGCCTGGGCTGGAGCCATGGACCTGGAGGGCTCTGGTCTTCTCTAATAGAACAGTGCCGCTGACTGTGCCCTCTCTATCTGGGTTGCTCACTAGGCCAAGCGTGAAGGGACAATGAGCTCTGAGGAACGGGCAGTGCTGCTCACCTGGCTGATGTCACTGGTCCACGCTGCCTTCTCCTGCCTGGATGAGGCCACCAGGATGACCGTGAAGGGTGGGGAATCCTTTGGCTCCACCCCGATCTTAAAATCCAAGTGGTCTATGTCCTGGGCAGTTCCTTTGGCTTTTCCAGTGACAAAATATGAAGTTAGCAGAGTGCTTCTGAGCTGGGTAAGGTTCTCTGGTCCCTGACTTGACACCAGTAGAGACCCCAGGATGATGTCAGGCCACTGGCTACTCCTTTTAGAATAGTGTTTTATAATTTTTGGCTAGGTGAGAGTTACCATTTCAAACAGGGAAGTTCGGAGGATCTGGCATGTGCAAGTAATTTAAGGCACCCAGATTCTTGATTCAGAGCCTGAGTCACTGAGTAGTATGTCCTCTTCCAGGACTCAACTAAGCCTCCTAGTGGGGAGGCAGCTATGCCAGGGTTAGATGGGGCCTCACAACACAGTCCTCCCCCTAACACCTGGGATACACAACATTGACATCTGAAACTTTTCCGGACTGGGCTGAACATTCAGTTTGGATTACAGTTCCCCCGTGTGAAAGTAAATTCTAGGTATTTTATTACTGATATTCAACTCTCCTTTTCTTTTCTTTTTTTTGGTGCTAGGGATCAAATCCAGGGCACCACACACACTAGGCCCTGGAATTCTTGAACACTGTTACTGGAAAGAGTAAGTTCACGGAGTCAAGATCTTCTCTCTGGTGGCACAAACTGTGAGCTGTCTGCCCAAGTCTGGACTGTTCTCTTGCCTGTTTGCATATGGGTCAGAGTCTACCATGTTTAAGCATCTGCTCTTCCTGCCACCCTTGATGAATGTGTGTGTGTGTTTGTGTATGACAGCATGTGCACAAATAAGGAGCTTGTACACCTACCTTCCTCCTCTGTGTTTTCTGGTTCCTCCATTAAGGTGCAATCGATGAGGGATATGACTCCATTCTGAAAAAGAGCACAGGCAACATTTTGGACCAGGAGTCCATGTGTTAGAGTAGGAGTCCCAGAACATCACGCTGGAAGGGCCTCTACACCAAGTACCACACATCTGTGTGTGTGTGTGTGTGTGTGTGTGTGTGTGTGTGTGTAGCATATGCGAGTGGGTACTTTGCTTCGTAAGCAAAGGATGTTGGCTTCCTTTACAAGGTCCACCAACGTGGGTGAAGTGAGATTCTTCTCAGGGAGACCACACCTGATGAAGGCTGAGGTCAAACTGTGGGCAGATGGGCCAGAATCTATCCTGTTTGGCTTCCTCTTGTCACATCAGCATCTCTGAGAATTACGTCATACCGCTTATAAAAACTTGAAATCCTCTGTTCTTGGCCGATCCCTCGGTTATCAATGGTGAAACAGACCAACTTTATGGATGCATTACATACATTGCTAAGACTTTTTTATGGATTCAGAAATGAAGTTAGAGAGGTTAAGTGGTTGCTCGGTCACCTGGTCAGCGCTATTGGTGGGGTCCTGAGAAAGCCTGAGGGCCCGTCCCAGCCCCAGGTCAACAGCTCATTTCCTATTATCAGGACTAAAGCAAGGACACCATTGAGAAGGGATCTGGTAGCAGTCCTCCTATGCACAGGTGCTCTGGAGCACCCTTTTGAAAGTGGAAGCATTCCTCTTAGGTGTGGGCCGGACTGTGATCAGAGCTGAATGAAAAGAATCAAATGATGGACCTTTCCTGATGGTTTAAAAAAAAAAAAAGAATCAAATGACGGCTCTGGGGACTGCAGCCTCCTGTTTGCTCTCTGGTTGTCTCCTGGATCATGTCTCAAGGGAGGTGGGTGCCATGCTGTGGGGGGGGGAGATGAAGAGCCGAGGCCCCAAGCCAACAATCTGGTGAATGAACCATCTTGGTTGGGTAAGATTTTAGAGCACTATGGCCTGGCAAACATGGCTATGGCAAACTAGAGCCTTGAGCCAAGACCACTTTGAAGGCGCTCCTGACCTCTGACCCACAGCAACTGGGAGGCAGTGTTTGCCCTACAATAACTGATGTTAATATAGACCCAGCCACAGACTGATCTATATATGAAAATGCTGGGCAGGCTGCCAACTTTTTGTTACGAAACTCAGAATTTATTTTTAACCACTTGCCCGGATTATTGCGGTCTCATGTTATATAGGCTGCCACTTGTGAGGAGAACATCAGAGGGGATTCCCAGGCTCTGGGGTCTGCTTCTTGCTTCCTTCTTTAGTGGTCTTGAGAAGTTCCCAGGACTTTTGAACAGTAACCTTGCCCTATGATTGCACTGGATTTAACAATTCTGGGAGCTGACATTCCCTTATGTATTTCCAGTTCTGATGTTGGAACCTAAGGCCTTCTGCATGCTAGGTCAGAGCTCTACCACCAGGTTATACTCCAGCTGGTGTTCTCTTACTGGCTTGTTTTACTCCTGAATCTTACCTGTGAGCTGTGAAAGTGATGGTGTCTGCCTTAGAGGTGTTCTGGGAATTAAGTATGTATAAAACACTTGGGATAGGGACTTGTCACACTCATCAGTCACATGACAAGCTCATTATCATAGGATTTATAGTGACTGTTTAACTTCCTGAAAATTTATTGTACCAGGCCCTGGGACTCTGTCAGCATTCCTGGGAAGTATTCCTTTCTAGCAGGCTATCTTTAGAAAATTATTTTTATTTTAATTTGTGTTATGTGTGTGTGCATGCATGCATGCATGCATGTGTGTAACATGTGTGCAGGCACCCGTGGAGGCCAGAGGAGGAAGTGAGATCCTTTGGAGCTGTAGTTACAGGTGGCCCTGAGCCATCTGACATGAGTGAGTGCTCAGAGCCAAACTTTAGTTATGGTGAAGAGCAGTAGGGCCTCTTCACTCCTGAGCCATCTCCCCTGCTCCCAGGCTAACCCTTTAAAACTCAAAAATAACTAAGAGAAAATAACCAACATAAAAACATGAACTTCCAGTCTCAGATCAAGAAACCGCCGTATTGTGTCTGGCGTAACCTGCCTGTGTTCACCCCACTGCAGAGGGATGGAGACCTGACCCTCCCGACCCAGACAGAGACATCTGGAGTGGAACTTGGCACTAACAATTAATGAAAGCCTCCCATGACACACAATTTGGTTGGAACTGGAGTGTTTAATATTTGTCAATTAATTTCTCCATGTGCAGCCAACCAGCTAATTTGTTGACATGTTAACATAAGCAGGGTATTCCCCTGAAGCCAGCGCTTGATCTAATAGCTCAATGGCAGGCTACAGACCAGGCATCCAGGGCCCCAAAGGAAGGCTTCCCTGATGCCCTCACTTAATTAAGGGCGCCTTCTGGCCTTTCCTTTCCAGGCTGCCGCATGTTCACATTTGAAATCCCATCTGCTTGCACAGGATGGACATAGTGTTGGGAGAGATGGCAGCATAGAGACAGAAGGTCCTATAATCAGCACAGCAAATTCACAGGGACTGCCAGCTCACTGCCAGACCCCTCAGGCAGTGTTTCTGTGGGAACAGTTATCTCTGACCGATGAAATGTACTCAGGGCAAGGACATTTGCAGGGTCACATGTGTGACAGGACTGGGACCTGTTGGGGTTCAGAGCAATGGGACCAGCAGTGAGTTGTGTTGAAGGAGGTTTGCCAAAGAAGAGGGAAGGCTGTGTAGCTGGGAATCCAGCAGGAGCAAAGGCCCTGGGCTCTGAGAGCTGCTTCCCCTTTACCAACTGGGATGAGCCAGGCTGTCAGCAGCCTCCCAGGGTCACCTGGCCTGAGGAAGGCTTCCTGTGATAGAGGAGTGGGTGTCTGAGAATATTTGCCTGGAGATGACAGAGAAAGATGTTATGTGTTGCTCTAATCCTAGGCTGGAGGGGACCCTCCACTCTCCCCAGCACCCCTATCCATACACCACACATACACAGCCCCCCCCCCACGCACCATCATATGTTCATGCTTGTGTCTTGAAAGGTTTGTTAGAACTCCTGGCCAGCTGTGTGGAGTCCCTGGAGCCTGATGCCGCCTTCCCAGTTCCCATGGTTTCTTCAGTAGGAGATACCATGGGATGTTCTGCTTATTCCCACCCTCAGTTTAACCAAGGCGTGCATGTGTGTGAACAGGCGCGTGCTCGCATACAAAGTCCAGGCTAAGTACTTCAGCAGCCTACTGTACCATCAACCTCCAGTCCTGTAGTGAGGGTGGAGCCTGTGAGCTGGAGCCCCAGGACTTGCAGCTCCTCTCCATGGCCTTACCTTGGTCAGGTGCAGTTTCCCTCCGGAGCCTCTGGTGCAGATGATGAGATGCTTGGAGAACAGGAAGCACTGCCGTTCACCTTCCTTCTTAAGGGACAGAGATCCCAGGCGCCCCCTGGTGATCTTGCCCTTTTCTGACATGGGCACCTGGATGAGGGAACCTGTGGGAACAGGGGTGGTGGTGAGCAGGCTCTCAGCCTGCCCTCAGATGACACCATGATGCCACCCCTTGGCAGTGGCCGTGGAACAAGGTACTCCAAACACCCTTGTCACTCCTCTACAGATTCTTTCCCAATTGTCTTCACTGTCCTCAAGGATCAGTCACTCAGGGCTCCTCAGCATGGATTGGATTGGACTATGCTCCCAGCTTCTCTCCTCTCATCCACTGTCTTTCTTCCCCATAGCAAATATCATCTTAGACCGCACTGTGTAGCCTCTTTGGGGGAGCTACCTCCCTTGACTCCTCTGCCCTACTCTGTGTCTGCTGTATCTTATATGTCCATAAGTGACAGGTCTTCTTATGCAGGGTGGGGCTGGCTCCATTCTCTGGGGACCTTAGAGCCCTATGGGGACCTGGTGCGCACAGGGAAGATGGCAGTGTTGGCTATGTGGCTAAAAAGTGGGAAGGGCTGGGAGGGATTCCAGGTCCTACTCCAGGCTGGAGGAGGAAGTGCTTCTGCTGGGTGACGAAGTAGCTTCCAGGCCTTTGTGTGGAGGGGATTCTTTCCAGGGTTTTCTTCAGAAAGGCAGAAAGAAGCTCCATGAAAATGCATCTGGCATAGAACACGCCTTGTGCAGCTCAGGGAGACAGAGACAAAGCTGGCTCTAGGCTTTGGGTGTCACAGGCAGGTCCCAGGGAAGGTCTTGGGGGCCACATGCAGGCACTGTCCATGAAACATAATGGATATCAGGCCCTCCCCAGAGGCCAGATTCTGAGGTATAGACCAATTTAAGCCCACCACAAGGCAATTCATTAGTTTGAGAACTCCGGAGCTGGGTAGAGGGGATGCTGGGGTCTACTTGGGTCAGAGATCCACCCGAGGCATACAGCAAGTGTTGAGTTTCCCACAGACCACCAGAGTGGCACAAGGTGAGCTTCAAATACATCATAGCTTTGATGTCTCTGAGCCACCAGGAGCTCAACAGGGCCATACTCGCAAGGTGAGCAGGAGCACAGGCTTCCCTCCACTATTGCTCCCCAACACCTGCCATTCCCAGAGCCAGTCACTATCTGTTCTCATTCTGTCTCCTACTTTCTCCTGCAAAGAACAGGTCAGTGCTTACATCAAAAAGCCTGAGGCTAACATAGGTAGTAGACTCATATTTGGCGTGAGGGAAACCATGAAAAGTAATAGTGTGCATGCGTGTGTGTGTGTGTGTGTGCATGCGTATGTGTGTGTGTGTGTGTGTGTGTGTGTGTGCATGTGTGCTTGCGTGTGTGTGTGTGCCTGTGTGTGTGTAGATTCTGCTTCCATGTAGAGCTACTGCACCCCCAGCAGTCCAGAACACTCCACAGCCACAGTTGCAGGCCAGTCCACTGGGGATGTCCCCAAGTGCTGCTCATCTCCCAGGGACCCCTCTGTGGGGGCACAGAACAGCTGCCTTACCTTGTCGCACGAAGGTCTGGCTGGTGTCAAGGAGGATCTCACAACCCTCGATGATCATGCGCTCGATGGCCAGGTTTTTCCGGATGTTCTCCGTCTCGCTGACTTCATCGTGCATGATCCTGGGGAGACAGGAAGCAAGGGACATGCTGTGCCACTTCCAGGGAGGGGAATGCCATGCTCTCTGGGCAGACCCAAGAAGAGAAGATGGGGGGTGGGTGGGACCTGCCGTTAAGAAGGTGAAGGCGATGCATTTCAATTGAGTGCCAACTGCCCAGGCTCCATCTGGTTTAAAACCCTGGCAGTTCAAGGAGACAGGTGTTTATTTTAGAAAAACTGAAATGGAAATTGGCAGCCAGGAAGCAGGCCAGTCGTATTTCAGTGTTGAATACTGTAGGGTAGATAGCAGGTCCAGGCCAGGAGGGAGGTGTGAGCCCAGACACCTCTGTTTGTTACTCATGTCTCACTATACCCTATCCTCATCCATAGAGCAAGCAAAGTTCATCACCCCTGTGCTCTTTTCCTCAGGCTGTCCTCTCCCCCTCACTGGGACTTGAACTCAGGGACTTGAGGATGCTAGTCAAGTGCTCTACTACTACCGCTACGCTCCAGATCTTTCTCCCACATCTTTGTATGTTGCATGGGGCCTAGAATGGTCTGAGATTTGGGAGTTCCTGCCAATCCTGTTGGCTTAGGGAAAGACCGGCCTTCACCTTCTATCTTAGCTGCCTTCTTGGAGGAAAAAAAGTTTGTTCCTTTCTGTCTCCTGCAACTCCCATGGTCTCCAGGAGATGGCGCCATTTAATTACTTTGGGAAAAAATAGGCAAGTGTGTGTGTGTGTGGGGGGGATATAAGGGGGGAGTGTTCTCTGGCAATTTTGCCCTGGTGGGTTTACAGGCTTTTAAGGAAAGTAATGCATACTTTTGGGAAAGGGGGAGCTCTGGAAAAATACCCCATACTCTTTAAGAAGATCACATCTTACAATTTTCTGCCGATTTCTGAAATTCTACAGTCAGTATCACAAAGACCAGTCTGGTTTCACCTCAGGGAAGTACTCTGCTTGGTTTCTGCAACAAGTATCACAAAGACCAGTCTGGTTTCACCTCAGGGAAGTACTCTGCTTGGGTAGGCTATAAGATGAGTGAACCACTCAAGCCTCCAGCCAGATAATGCTCAGTTCCCCATGTGCAGAACGCTGGGGAAGAGGTGGGCATCAGCATTCCAGCTTAGTTTTTATCCCCTTTAGGACTCTCATTTTAGCTCAAACTCTCCAGGACATCTAGACTGCCTTGATTCTTGTAGCCTCAGTTTCGACCTTTCCTTCCCAGAAGTGTATTTTTTTTAGATGTCCAGTTCCTGGAGATGGGGCCCTGTTTGAGAGTGGCCAGTGGCAACGAGAACATTTCTCATGGTGAGGGTGAAGTTTTGCCTGGGGAGTGTTTGACCCCGAGAGGCACAAAGGGGCAACTCCACAGTGGCAGGCAGACTTGACAGGGGCAGCCTACAGCTGGTCAGTATGAATTCTGTTTCAGATGGAGTTGGGGTCCCATGTGCACACATAGCTAGGGGGCCCTTTGAGGGTCCTTGAGGACTGGAATTGATGGTCTGTGTTATCAGTGGTGCTACGGTGGTTGAGGATAAAACGACAAAACACGGGCCTGGTCCTTAGAGAGAGCACTAAGAGCACTTAGAGAGAGAAGAAGTACAGCTATGAGACTAGCTGGTCTGTGTTGGCTGGAGAATGAGGTGTGTATCCTAGTCTTGCCTGTGCAGAGCTGTCTTCTGGAGGAGGTGTGGTTCCTAGCTTAGCCTGGGCAGAGCTTGGCTCTGATGGGTTCAGTCCTGCCAGGACACTTCCCTGAGCACTCTATGGGGGAAGGGTGAGAGAACACGCCAGTGTGCCATCAGGGCTGGGCTCATGTGATGGTTCAGTTGTTAGGTGGAATGAAGAAGGGTAGGATGCATACCTGGGTCTTAGGCCAATGACCTTGGCCTCTCAGGCCATCTGCACCCCACTTTGCTCCAGGACCTGCATCTCTCAATGATGAAGAACCTCGGGGGTCATACTAGGCTTCCCCCCCACCCCCCGGAGATGAGGAACATGTAGGATTTGGTTCCAGAACATGAAAGTCAGAGAGGGTCCTTTCTTCCTGCCACTGGCTCTGTCCCTCTGCAGCATGCCCTGATACTATACCTACTCCCTCGGTAACTTAGCTGGCTTTCAGAAGGATCAGGCTAGGTAGCCTGTACCCTTCCCATCCCACTGCCTAGCTTGGAGCTGAGACCTGCCTGGCTAGCCTTGGCTGGCTTCAGGAAGCCGAGCCTCCCTACCCCTCACCCTCTAATCCCCTATGTCTGATCACAAGGCCCATCTCATGTTGGGACCTCCACCCAGGCTCAATTCTAGGCTCTGGTGTCTTCCTGTTGGAAGTCACTCCTGAGGCAATCTCATAGCAATGAACTGATGATGGCTCTCAATTCCAGACTCTAGAGCTTTCCTTTCTGGTCTCCTCCATGTGGGTATCTGATAGCATCTCAAGTTCCACTCGATCCCCAAGGAAGCTCCGGACCCTCTAACACTATCCATCTTGGTTAAGGACCCACAGGTCTGGGATCACTAGTTTCTCTCATTTTCACACCCAGCCCACTGGGAATTCCTAGCTTTGCCTTTGAGCTTTAGTTCCGATCTAGGACCCCAGAATCTTGGTGGGGTGTGAAAGGGCTCCCCCTCCTGCAGCTGCTCTTGTAGAGGAAGACCCCTCACCCTGACTGCAGGACAGAGAGAGGGCCAGGTGAGGGGTCCGGACTAGAGGACTAGAGTGTCTGAAATGGCTATAGCTCATCTACCTGTCACCTCCTGCTGTTGATGGGAACCTGGGCACATGAGGGCTAGTCACCTGGAACCCCCATCCTTGGTGAGTGAGCTCTTATCAACACAATTTTTGCTAGGTTTTTCTTTTTCTTTTTTTTTTTTTTTTGAGACAGGGTCTCATGGATTCCAGGGTGGCCTTGAAAGCTGGACTTCTGCTCCTCCTGCCTCCATTTTGAAAGTGCTGGAGTTTATCTACTGTAAAACAGTACTGGTTTTATCTAGTACTGGACATGGGCCCCAAGCTTCAGGCATGCTGGGCAAATACTCTGTCAACTAAGCTATACATCTCCTGCCTTGTTTTGGTTTGCAATTTTTTTTTTTAAATAAGGTCTTATGTAGCTTAGGTTGGCTTTCAACTTGCATGTAGTAGAGGCTCGCTTTGAACATCTGCCCTTCCTGCCTCCACCTTCTGAGTACTGGGATTATCGATGCCTAGCACCATACGTGGCTCACTACAAGGTTTGACAAGTTGACACTGAAAAAGAGGGGAATTAGGTGCTGAAAGCTACTGGAAGTTCCCTCTTGTGGGTAATGGGTCCACTTGAATGCACAGGGTCCTGCAGGCTCCCTCTGTGCAGGGACAGCACACAGCCTGTGCTGCTCATCCAGGCCTGTGTATGGGCTACATAGGTCAGTCAGGGGACCCCGTTCTTTGAAGTGAGGCAGGCTTCATATCCCCTCCTGAGGAAATTTGCACCCCTCCCCTGCCCACCCTCTGCACCGTGGCCAGGCACTCACCTGGACAGTTCTTCTAGTTTGGATTTGGCATAGTCCAGGCTGTTGCGCTCCACGTGCTCATGAGGTGTGTGGGCCAGCAGCTCGTGGAGTGTCAAGATGTACCTGGGGATCTGTGAGTGGCAGGGGACATGGAGGGACAGAGCCAGGGAGACGACGGATAGGTGGAGAGACAGGGAGCAAGGAGGGAGAGACAGTGATGGCAGACAAGAGATGTGGGACAACGAGGACAGAAGGCAAGATAGAGAGGCAAGAGTGGTCCTTTGAACCCAGTGGGCTGAGGAGGAAAGCAGGCTGCATTTCTGATCTGCCTGGAGCGCCAGAAAGATGGGGACCCCCATGTGACTGTCTCCAGGGACTGCCCCCTCACCTTCCCCACTGCTGGAGTGGACAAGCACATGGGTGGTCAGCTTGCTCTCCACCTGCCGGGGTTGTTGGGGACCGTGTCCCGCCAGCTGTGCCCTCAGTGCCCCCGCCCCAGCCTGCTCCCTTGAAGATCATGGCAGCCACCTGGAACATGGGATAGGTGAGGAAGGTCTCCAGCGTGCGCTCCTCGCAGTCGGGCTTGGCCTCATATTGCTTCAGGAGCTTGTCAAAGTCCCGGTTCTGCTTGCAGTGTGCCAGGATCTGGAGGCTGTATTGGTGATTGCGGACGAACTCCTGGTAGATGTTGAGCATGGGCAGCAGGATGTCGAACAGGTCGGCTGCAGGGCAGGTGGGGTCAGCAGGCCCGAGGGATCCTGGGGCTAGACGTCCCCAAGCCTTTGGCCCATTGGCCTACCCAGAAAGGCTGTGTGCCGGGTTCAAATCCCCATTCCAGAGAGTTCCCTCTTTGGAGGTTACACCGGTACACCAGCCTTATCCATGAGCAGAAGTGGGTTTTGGGATGTGGGCTGTCTTGTGGCAGCTGGGGCTGAAGGGGCTTAGAGAGATGGTGCAGAGGCCCATACCCTGGGGGCTATGGCTGCCTGGGGGCCTTGCTCTGGAACTATCTCCAACTGAAGAAAACAGCCTTGGTGTAGCGCATACCTTATCCATGGTGGGTCCATGTGGAGTGTGGTCAGCCCCTGCCTCAACTTCAAGTGTGTCTATAAGAGGCAGTGTGTGTGTGTGTGTGTCTGTGTGTGTGTGTGTGTGTGTGTGTGTGTGTGTGCGTGCACGCGCGCGTGCACGCACACGCGTGCATGTTCATGAGTATGGGCACATGTGTGTATGAGAACATGTGGTGTGCCTCTGTGTGTTTGTATGTGGAAGCCAGAGCTCAGCCGTTGGTGCTATTCCTTAGGAGCCGCTGGCCTTGTTTTTGAGATGAGGTTCTTACTGGTACCCAGGGTTTGCTCATTAGGCTAGGTTGGCCTGAAAGCCCCAGGGATCCACCTGTCTCTGCCTCCCCAGCACTGACTGGGAATATAAGTGCATGCCAAGTCCAGATTTTTTTTTAAAAAGTTTATTTTATTTTATGTATGTGTTTTGTTGGGTCTCAGAGAAACCCGGGACAAATGGCCGAGTTGCCTATTATTATACCACAGCAGACACTGGCCACCAGATTCTCCCAGCACGGCAGCTACCTGTTTCAGAGTCCTTGTTCTTGGTAGCACTTCTCACGCCCAGCCCCTACCCTAAATGTCTCCAGCCCTCGAGCTTCCATTCCCTTCCCTATAGGACTCAGACATTTTGCTATGTGCTGTCTTGGCTCCTGGTTCCTGGTTCCTCTCTTGGCCTCCTCCTCCTCTCTTCCTGTCTCTCTCTTCTCATGGTTCAGTTTGGGCCCTTCCATATGCCTATGTCTGTTTTCTCCCCTTATATCTATGATAAAAACCTTCTCTCCAACCATACCTAGGAACGTCCTTGCTTTTCATTCATGTTTTGCCTACTTATTATGTATACAGTGTTCTGGCATGTAGATGGTTGTAAGCCACCATGTGGGCGCTGGAAATTGAACTCAGGACCTTTGGAAGAGCAACCAGTGGTCTTAACCTCTGAGCCATCTCTCCAGCCCCTCATGTTTTGCTTATATGAAAATATACCACCTGCATGCAGTGCCTGTGGTGGCCAGAAGGGGGGGAATCAGATTTCCCCTGGAACTGGAGTTGTTAGCTTCCATTTGGGTGTCTGAGAACCAGACCTGAGTCCTCGGCACCAGCAGCAGGGACCACCTTCCAGGTCCTGGCTCCAGCTTTTTATGTGGCTTCTGGGGACTGCACTCAGGTCATCATTGCTCTAAGGCAAGCACTTTACTGACCGAGCTATCTCCCCAGCCCTACAAAGCAGAGTCTTTGACATGAGACACATCCACAGAGCGGAGGGGCCTTGGAGGGCTACCTCTGGTCTGGCTCTGACTGTGACTCTCCAGCCTCAGTGGGTCTTCCCCTCTGTAGTGAAGGGGACACTGGTGTCTGCCTTTCCTTACCAAGGTGAGAATGTAAGAAACTGACAAAAAAAAAAAAAAAAAAAAAAACCAGGTGTCAACTGTAAGGGTACACCTGCGCCTCATTCCTGGGACCCGACATCACAGGTTACTAGGCAATGGGGATGAAGCCAGAGACTTTTTTTCCCGATAATTCAAGTTTTGGAAACCAATTCCAAAATTTTGCAACAGCTTAGAACCAATAGAAGAACTAGTTGGTTGCTTGGATAGTGATATGTATAGTTAGAGACACTAGAACATTATACGGCCACCAAAAAACTCAGCATGAGAAAACTGCACGTGAAAAAAAAAAGCTTCTCCTACAATGTTAGGCTAAAATGTAACTGCATTGCCAGATGTGGTGGTGCATGCCTTTAATTACAACAATTAGGAGGCAGAGCCAGGCAGATTTCTCTCTACCAGTTCAAGACCAGCCTGGTCTATCTACACAGCAAGTTCCAGGGTATCTAGGGATACAATAGAGACCCTGTTTTAAAACAATAAAAAAACCAAATAAATAAACAAACAAAACCCCCAGCATACTGTAATAATCTAATGTAAGCAAACAAATGAAATGTCTGCTATAAGCAAGCTTCAAACTGTTTAGCTCACTAAGTTTCCAGTTGTGTAAAAATGGGAAAAGAAAACACTCAGACTCTCGAGAAATGTGTAAGAGAACACAGCAGTGTTTGGGGTGGTTGTCTTCGGGGAACAGAGTGACAGGTGACAATTTAAGTGTTTTCTATTTTTCTGGAGTTTGAGACTTTAATGTTGCCTTTTGAAAGGGAAAGTGGACAGGCAAAGAGAAAGACCTCAATCTCTCCTAAGAGCATGTGTTGTCTGTCTTTCTCCTCTCAGGGGACTCCGGAGTCTACAGGGTGTCTTTCTGTGATGATCTAGAGGGGCAGACTTGTCTCCTGTCCTGAGGATGGGGTCCCAGGGGGGTTGGCTACTTACCCAGCACCAGGGTGGGCCAGCTGGAGATGCGGGCCTTCAGGCCTTGGTAGAAGATCTGATGTAGGAACATGATGGTCTCACTGAAAGAAAAAGCACCGATGAGCTCCTGGCTGGGCTTCCTCCCTCCCTGTGGAAGACCCTGCTGAACACAGCAGTGCCACACCAAACACAGAGCCCTCAGGAGGAACTCCAACCACCTAAGCGGTGGAGCATCAACCCCTACACGAGCCCCTCTGCACAGGGGATGCCAGCCCACAGAGATGGCACAGACGAGTTACTTGCTGTGCACGAGAAGCCCTCCCTACTGTCTCCCCTTACTCCCCCTGCCCCAAGGTATTGCAGAGACCTGGAGAATACGTAACAGCAGCCACTGTCGGTGGGAAGAGATGCGGCTTGGGACCCACACAGAATGAAGCTCATATCTCCAGCAAGACACCTAAAACACGTCTGAAGCCCAAATCCTTCTATGTGAAATAAGCTGGAGTGAAGAATCTGCCGCTAGAGTGGGGCTGCTTGGGTGCCTGGTAGACTGTAGGTGCCTAGCAGAGCCCAGATCGCTGCTGCCCCCTTGATACCTTCATTCTTGGGAATCTCAGCCAGGGAGCTAAAAGACTCAGAGTTCTGGCCTTTGTCACCATGATGCACACGGGGGTGGGGGTCGGGGAAGAGCATGGCCTAGGCAGCCTAGCCCTGGCTGGATGTGTTCTCTATCAGAATGCTCCCTAGGGTTCACATTGGCCTTGGCCCCTGCCCTGTGACCTCCCCCTTTCCATTTCTTCTCAAAGTGGCTGGCTCCAGAGCACAGCCTGAGGCCTCTGTCCCAGGACAAGTTTATAACAAGAGAAACTAAGGGACAGATGACAATTGCTCCCTCCTGAGGGCATCTGTCCTACTCTTCCTTCTGGTTCCTCTGTGTTCACAGCTGCCTGTGTAGCTCCCTCTATAAGCAGATGGAAGAGACCTTGCGGGGGCTCACTACATTTAGGGTTCCAGAAGGAGAGGGAGATTACCCCACTACCTCCCTTGAGTCAAAGGCAGCACAGGTCTGTTTTTCCCCCTTTCTGGACTGTTCTTATCTCTCTTAAGCCCATTTTCTAGGCTGTGCTCTCTGCTCTTGTGTGTTCTCTCTTCCAGTCATTTGTGATCTGAGGGGTTTTGCTATGTCAGCACTACTTGAGCAGGGGAAGAGGTTTAGGGAGCAGGGAGAAGCAGAGGGCATACAGCAGAGGCCCATGGACAAAGGCCCTGAGAGGGTCTGAAAGATCCTGTGAAGGGCAGAGACACAGGGAGGGTGGGAGGGGGTAAGGGGAAAAAGAGACTGGGTGAGGTGGTGGTGGTGGGAGGTAGAAAGAAGAGAAAAAGAGAGAGAGAGAAAGGGAATGGTGAGAGAACACAATGCATCCATGCCAGAGAGCTACACCAGAAACTCCAGGGTATGTCACAGGGTGTGGAGAAGAAAAGCAAACCCTACAAAAAGTAAAGCCAGCAAAACCTGAAAAAGGTGGCTGCAGAGAAAACTTGCTCAGTTCTCTTTTCTGAGTGAGGATTTCATGGTTACGGACTTGTCTGCCACCTTAAGGCCTCATTGGTGACCTGGGGAGGCTGGCTTCCATCTGATGTCTAGTTGACTCTCAAACCAGGTTAAGAACTTTGGTTTTCAGTATGGGAAGACTCTTGGATACCAAGAGACTAGCCTAGGGGTGCATAAGAATACACACACACACACACACACACACACACACACACACACACACACACACACACACACATCCTGTAGAGTGAGTATGCTGTAGATGGCAGGGTGGCTGGAGACCTTCATGTTCTTGAGAGAGCCTTGTATCTATATCCTGTCAGATGGCACTGAGCGCTGCCACAGCCTGTCACAGGGAAGCCACTTCAGGCAGCCAGAAGATAGGCACCAGACACCGGGGCATGCACCATTGAGGAATGGAAGCTCCTGAGATCCCAATACTGCACAGGCCAGTGTAACAACAGACAGGAGCATCACAAAAGGGACAGTAAAATCAGCTTGAAGGCATTGAAAGGGATGGCTCAACATCATACAGCAAAACAAACAGGCTAATGAATTGAGTCATGAGATTTTTTTCCCCACCCTCATTGTTTGTTAAGAGTTATATTTCCACTATTCTTTAGTCTAAATGTGCAGCAATGTGATGTCTGTGTGTGTATGTATGGTGCATATTTGTATATGCACACCTGTGTGTGCCAGAGCATGAGCCCATGTGCATGTGTATGGAGGCCATAGGAGAATGCATTGCCTAATTCCTTTGAGGCAGGGTCTCTCACTGAGCCTGGAGCTGGGCTAGCAGCCAGCAAGGCCCAGCCATCGTTTTGATTCTGCTCCCCACAGCACTTGGGTTAAAGGCATGTGTAACCTATCAGCTTTTTACCTGGGTGCTGGGGATTTGACACAGGGCCTCGTGCTTATGTAGCAAGTGTTCTTGCCCACTGAGCTATCTCCCCAGCCTAACCATGATGCTGTAAAAATCCACATACCCTAATTGAGAAACATTACCTTGCTGAAAGATAGCTGCCTGAATCCTCAGCAAGCCAATCCTGTTGGTGAAGGGCCTTGCACCAACATTGACCATGACTGATGAGGTGGCTGCTGAAGGTTGGAGTCGCTTTGGGACTTCTTAAAATAAGACAGCAGTGAAGTTTCCCAGGTCCCCTGACCCCCTCCTTTTTAGGACAACAGTTCTAAGTTCCATATTTTATGGCCAGGAGAGTTATTCCAAACTTAGAACCTCGGACCTTGCTGCTGCTACAAGCCAAGTTTTTGTGATACTCTAAATCATTTGTCATGTTAGAACAGTGGTTCTCAATCTTCTTAATTCTGCAACCCTTTAATGCAGTTCCTCATGTTAAGGTGATCCTCAACCATGAAGTTATTTTCACTGCTACTTCATAACTGAAACTTTGCTACTATTATGAGTAGTGAAAATATCTGTGTTTTCCGATGATTTTAGGTGACCCCCCAGAGAAGGGCCATTCAACACCAGTGGGGTCGTAACCCCCAGATTGAGAACCAGTGCCTTAGAGTATCACAGGGTCTCCATGGGTAGGAGCTGCCTGAAGACACCACCTGCTTTGCTTATATCCCAGGACTGCAGCCCTTCAGTTTTGTTTTCAGACTCCATTCATCATCTGGGTTCTTGGCTGTGTCCACCACACCAGAGGTGACTCCCTCTGTGGAAGTCTTGGGTGCCTGCCAGTTACCTGTGAGAGTTGGAACCATCCCCTTCCAAACTCCTGCTAATGTCAATATCTTGTCCTTTCCCATGAATCATGGATGCTCTTCCTGCCATCTACAATGGTGTGTGTTTTCTAGAAGTTCTTGAGTTAACTTTGACCAGATCCTCCAGAAGTAGCCCTACCTGTGACAGCTTTACAAAAATATCTTATTTAGACAATCAGATTTGAAAGCTGATATTCCTCCTTGAGGCGCCAGCTGTAGAACAGGTTGTCATGTGAGCAGGCACGAGATAAACATTTGCTTTGTGTGTCTCTGTCATAGCTCTGGGGTGACCAGGTGCACTGTCCATCCCTGGTACTAGTTTGGAAGGAATCTTTGTTTTCCCTTGACATTGGGTCTCAACAATGGGTTTCCATGTTATATATAGATGTGTCTGGCACCATTTACAAAGCACAGGTGAAAGAGATTCAGGCTTTTGGCAATTCAGAACTTTAAGAGACCACTGGCTTAGGCTCCACGTCTAAGCCCTTAACGAGACAGCTCATTCCGTGAAGCTCTGAAGCCAGGCACAAGCTTCTCTGCAGCGGTGGCAGTCCTCCATGGAGTCGCTTGTTCTTTGGCTCACATGGAGAATTGGGTTATCACTGATCCATCTTTTGAACAACTCACTTCAGGTCCCCCATCAGCACCCAGTGCTTCTCCTTGAACTGCATGTTGAAGGGATGATTATTTCCCATGAACCGCTGCCAGCTTCTGCAGCTTCCTTACCTCTCAGCTTTCACAGAGTCGAGGGTTGGAGCATCACTGTGGATTAGGTCACAGTCTCAGGGAACACCACTGCTTATTTGAGCTTCCCTCTGGACCACTCAGAATGCCTCCCTAACAGTTACAGGGCCGCTTGCTTTCTTAGCGTTTGTGTGTTTACTAGACCAGCACCTTCTTTTTTTAATAAAAAAATTTACTTTTATTATTTTAAATTGCCCAAGTATGGGTATGTGCCTATCAGTGCAGGCACCTGAGGAGGTCAAAGGCACAGGAGTCCCTGGAACTAGAAGAGTTACAGGCAGCCACCTTAGGAGAGTGCTGGGATCTTTGCAAGAGCTGAAGGGATATTTAACCACTGAGACACCTCTCCAGTCCTGGAGTAGCACTTTCAATTCCCTTCAAGGCCTTTCCTTTGCCTTCACAACTTGGCTAACTGTTCTAAGAAGCTGGGCTCTCAGGCCATTCAGCTCTCAGCATGCTTTTCTCACTGAGTGATGTTTTTGCTTTTGATTCAAAATAGGATACTTAGACTGTGCTTACTCACACACTCAGGGGCCACTGTAGAGTTATTGTTCCAATTTCAGTATTGTGTCTCTGGTGATAGGGAGGCCAGAGAGATAGAGCAATGACCCCGCTGTTGGAGCAGCCAGAGCATATGTGACATTTATCATGTCAAATGCATCCCCTTATTGTTCATGGCACTCCAAACAATTAAGTCATAACATCAAAGGCCACTGATCACAGCTCATCATAACATAACACAGTTTGAAATTCTCTAAGAATTACCGAACTATGAGAGACATAAACTTCCCCTGTATTGTTTGATGGATGTGCCCCGTGAAGGGTGGCCACAAGCCTTGCATTGTGAAAAGCCACATCTGCTCAGCAGAGTGGAAAGGAACATGCTGCAGAAAACGAGGCATCCCTATTACAAGCGTGGTCTCTGAGAATTTCATAACCTTACAAGCCAGAAATCCCCAGTGTTTCTCACCCTGCAAGAAAAAAAAAGTAATCATTCCATCTTGACTTGATTTGCTTAAAAAAAATCCACTGTTGGTAGCTGGAGATATGGCTCTGTGTGTAAAGTGCTTCCTGAATGATCGTGGTGACCAGAGTTTGTGTTCTTAGAACCCACATAAGCTGGCCTGCAGCCAGCACTCTGGTGGGGAGGAGGGGAGTAGAGACCGGTATCCATGGCAGTCAACAGCTAGGAGACCCTGTCTTAAGCAAGGTGGAAGGAGAGGACAGGCAGACACCCACGGCTTTCCTGACTGCACATTCGTGTACCCACAGGCACACACAGGCACATGCGTGGTTAGTAAATCTGAAGAACATTTTCCATGCATATTGGCCATTTGTCTCTATCCTGGAACTGCTTAGTGTAGAATTATATTACGTTTGGTGAATGGTTTTGGTGAAAGGACATTTCTGACATGGGATCTTCCTAAGCTGGTACACTGGTACCCCTCTCTCCCTCCCTTCTTCCTCCCATCCCCCCTACTCTCTCCGTGTATGCACATGGATTTGCAGGTGTGTACACATGTGGAGGTCAGAGGACAACCTTTGGTGCATTCCTCATGAACACTGTCAACTTTATGTTGAAACAGGGCTTCCCACTGGCCTGAAGTCACTAAGTAAGCTAGGCTGGCGGGTCATAGAGCTCCAGCAATCTACCTGTCTCTGCCACCTCAGTACACACTGCCACCCTCAGTGTTTTCACATGGTTCAGGGGATGGAACTCAGACCTGAATACCAACTGTGCCATCTCCCCAAACCCCACTTGTGTGTTTTCGGAGTCCTTCTTTATGTCCTCATCATTTGGATCCTCTGTTTATTTTTACATGATCATGCCCTTGGTTCTATTGTGAGCAGGATCATTTACTTATGTTTTTAAGCTGTTTTGTAGACAATGGAATAAGCTACCCATCTGGATTAAAAACTCCCTGGACTCTGCACTCACTACCACGTGGCCAAAGATTATGACCTCTAACTGATCCAACTCAGCTGCTCCTCCACCATCTGCTTCTCTTCTTACTGAAGAGCAGCTCTAGCTGGTCAGCCTCTCAGTCCCTCCACCTACCCCATCACTCTGCTCTCAATAGCACCTATCACTGTTACCCAGATGACTGCTAGTGGATTCCTCAATGGTCCCCTGCTTTCACCCCGGCCCCCAGCTCTCCCGCTCTCTTAACACAGCAATCTTGAACATCTGAGCTGATTATCTGGAGTGGCCTTGGCTTGGCCTGCACCCTGTCCCCTGTCTGTCTTATAGATCCTTCCCTCTTTCTCGCTTTGCTTCTGCCACTCTGCTTTTATTTCTGTCTACTGTAATCAAGTTTTTCTTGCCTCAGTTTTGCATAGGCCATTGTTCTCTTGGTATGTACTGGCAGTTTGGGTTGGGAGAAGGATAGCAGGAGAGAGGAGGGGTTGGGAGGGGAGAGACAGTGTAGTGCTATAAACATGCAAGTATACTTTAAAATTCTTTTAGATTATTTGTTTTCTTTTATGTGTCTGAATGTTTGGCTTGCATACATGTCTGTGCACCACATGTGTGCCTTGTGCCCATGGAGTCAGAAGAGGACATTGGATCCCTGAAACTGGAGTTATGGGTGGTTGTGAGCCACCATGTGGGTGCTGGGAATTCAATGTGGATCTTACACAAGAGAAAGACGTCCTCTTAACCACCATCTCTCTAGCCCCAAGTATGCTTTTTTTTTTTTAAATCAAATTTTTATAAGAATAATTGGAAAGCTTTCCATTTTATTCAGTTCTTTCAGTTTAGGTAAAAATGATTGATTTTATTCAGTTCTGTCAGTTTAAGTAAAGATGATTGATTCTTTTAAAATGCTAAGCTTATCGTGGCTCTCTAAGGAGGGTAAGCAATGCAGCTTTTCTAAATGCACGCACTCCTTGGAAGGTGGAAAGCTGCTAGCCGTGTGCAGAGCTCTGCTAGCCCAGGTGCCAGACCAGACACCGGTCACTCCACATGCGATCCTAGCAGTAATAAAGGCAGAGATCGAGGTGCTGGCTACCCAGTTCCAGTGGGTACCATTCACAGCCCACTGTGTCAGAGGTCAGCTGCCGTGCGGCCTGTGGGCCAAACATGATGCACCTCTTCTTGTACGATTTTCACTTTTTTTGAGATTATTGTTGTTTTGAGGCAGATTCTCACAGTGGGCTTGGAGCCCACTGTGTACTCAAGACTGAATCCTTCTGCCTTAGCCTCCTCAGTGCTGGCATTCTACATATGGCCACCACATCATCTGTTTTTTTTCTTCTTAACATCTTAAAAGACTGTGTGGGGCGAATACCTTCAAGAGGATATTTTGTGACAGTGAAAATTATATGAAGTTCATACTTCAGTGTGTATAAATAAAATTAATAAGAACAGAGCTGCCCCATGTGTTTACGTTTCTACTATTGCTTAGTTGCCATGGGGAAGGTAGGGTCCACAAGCTCTAAAGTATTTATTTTTTATTAATTAATTTAATTGAATAAAGCAATGGCATTTTATATGTCACTGTACTTTGCTCAGATTTTTTTTCCTTCCTCATCATGTCTTTGCTTGGTTTTCATGCAAAAGTAAAGCCTCCCAGAAGTCAAGGCTGCTACTAAGTTCTTAAACTTCAAAAACATGAGTGCAAAATAAGCTGTTTCTTTTCTTTTCTTTTCTTTCCTTCCTTCCTTCCTTCCTTCTTCTTCTCCAGTGCTCGGGATATACCTGAGGGTCTCCCACAGACTAAGCAAACGTGCTCCATCTGTGCTGTATTTCCAACCATTTAAAAGTGCTCAGCTTCAGGTACTTGCCTAGAGCAATATGAAATAGATGAAGACAATTTATAACGCTTAAATATTGAAAGCAGAGTTTCTCAACAGTGGTGGCATATACTGTTTAGAAGTGGCCATGTCCTTTGCCCATCAGATGTCAGTAACCACATCCTCAAAATTGTGTGGTCAAAACCATCATTGGTAACTGTCTTACCAGTGTCAAAATGCTTTGGATTTAGGCTATGTAGGCCTAGGTTTCTATATCCCTTCTCTCGCCCTGAAACTGTATGGCCATATGACCTTGAATTATTTCCTTCCTCTCTGAGCCTTAGTTTCCTCTGCTGTACTTGGTGGGAAACAGATGTGGGGCTGTGTCAGGATTCAGCTCAGCATCTGTTGACCAATTCTTCGGGGCCTCCGTCCCACCTTTTCTGTCTGTCCTGCTTACCTGTTCAGGAAGATGCTGCTGACGTCATCGTGTGTGATGGGAGGCTTCTTGGAGCTAGCGGCCATGCGTAGCGGGCGCAGAAAATTATTGACAAGGATGTGCAGTTGCTGCACGTACTCAGCCTCGGCCTCCAGCATGCTGAACACCACCTGGTTCCTCTTGCGCATGCTGTCTGCATGGGGAGACCGGATGTAGTCCTGGATAACGGTCTTCCACTTCCGCCGGCAAAGCCAGCCCCGAAGGAAGCTCTGTACCTGGTTAAAACCAGTGGGGGAGGTTTATGTTAGTATCGGTTACTCTTGTTTTTGTGAGCTGTGGGCAGCTCAAGGGCAGGGAATGGGGTTAGTCATCCCTGCTGCTGGGAGCATAGGGAAGAAGCCCCGAGAGGCAGAGCAGGTTCTGCTGAGCAGGCTCTGCTGCCGGTGAGACGCTGAACATGCTCTTTGGGCCCTCGGAGAAAATTTTCCTGTCTGTGAAATAGTGCCAGGGAGTGTCACAGTATGGACTAGACGGCTTGTTAGAAGTGTGGGTTCTAGGGCCTGCTCCAGCCTGCTGCATTTGAACAAGTTCCCTGATTACTTTGGAAGAGCAGAAAGGAGGAAAAGTGGGCCGAAAGTTTCCATTCAGGGCCAGTGTGAGGAGAAGGGTTGCTAGGCTGTGCTTGGCATGGTTGAGTCTTGTCTAATGACTCTTCAGAGAGTCCAGAGGTTTCAATTAAAGCTTGTCTGGAGAGGGTAATTATCAAATTGAACAGAACATGGCAAATCTGCTCATCTCCAGCTCTTCAGTGGCTTCTGAGCCCCAGTGCCAGGCTGTAGCCTCTCCCAACTCAGCAGGGAAATGAGCAGGGCACTTGCTCAGTGGCCTTGAAGCTAGCCGAGAGAAGTGGCCTCTGATAAGTGGCAGGAACTTCTGAGAGGGTCTTCACTCATGCACAGAGAACACAGACACACATAAGCATACATATCACACATATAACACACATCCACACAGAATCAGAAACACACACAGATACATGCAGATTTATACATATACAGAGACATACACACACAGACACAAATTATACACACACACAGACGTATACACATAGACACATAAGACACATGACTGTACCCAGATATATGCATACAAACACATCCACGTGAAGACATGTGCTGGCTAGTTTTATGTCATCTTGACACAGTTGTAGGAGGGAACCTCAAATGAGAAAATGCCTCCATAAGATTGGGCTGTAGGCAAGCCTGTAGGACATTTCTTAATTAGTGATGAATGTGGGAGGGCCCAGCCCATTGTGGGTGGTACCACCCCTGGGCTAGTGGTCCTGGGTTCTATAGGAAAGCAGATTGAGCAACCATGGTGAGCAAGCCAGTAAACAGTATTCCTCCATGGGCTCTGCATCAGCTTCCGCCTCCAGTTTCCTTCCCTGTTCATGTTCCTGCTTTTGCTTCCCTCCGTGGGTTATGATATGCAACACTTTCCCCCTAAGTTGATTTGGTCATGGTATTTCAACATAGCAGCAGAAACCCTAAGACATCACACAAACACACATACATAAACACACACACACACACACACACACACACACACACAAGTTGTCTTCAGATGCACAGGTTTCTAGTTCAGGGTCACCTACCTCCTGCACTCTTGGGGCTTCTGGGCTGTTCACAAGCTCATGATCTGCATGGGGGAGGGGAGGACATAGAGACTGGGGCCAGCATACAGGACTTTTTACTGAAGGACACTGGCCATGGACAGCAAACCACCCTCCAGTGCAGACTCACCTCTAAGAACATTGTAGAAAAGGGAGGGTTTTAAATCCCCAAGAAACAGATAGGGGGTGGATTTCAGTCAGCCCCTATCAAATGCTGCAAGCAGAAAGGGCTGCCTTGAGTTGAGGGGTGGGCTGAGATGTTCAGGGGCCATAGCAGAGCCAGCTGTCCCTGCCTTGGTGGGACCTGGGGTCAATCTTCCCATGTTTGCCTGTTTGAACCTGGCAGCTGCTATATACCCACGCTGCTGGCTTGGGAAGAGGACAGCCTCTTCTGCCTGCTGCTGACATTGCTAACTCTAACCCAGGCTGTTAGACCTCCAGCTTCTCCAGGAGGCCACATGTTCACGGAGCTGAGGGCATGGGCTTGAGAACTGGTGCCAGGGTTTGCATGTCTCCCTGCAGGTATTTAGCTGTGTCAGCTTTAACAGGCTACTTGGCCTCTCTGTGTCTCAGCTTCCCCAGGTATGAGATGGAGATGATACTCAAATCTCAGGAGCTTTTACTGAGGACCCTCTTCATCTACACTGAGCTCCCAGAATAGCATCTGGCACGTAGAAAGTGGCTAATGAATGCTGCAATATCTATTTTTGAGAAAATAGATATCCAGATTTCTGCGTGAAGTGTTTAGCTCTTAAAGCACTAGCAACAAATATAAATGGGAAAATATACATGGGCTGAAAGCCATATGCATCGGGAAGGGCTGGACTTGGCCTGTGGGATATATTTGCAGTTTCTGGTCTGCATGGCATGGGGCCCCTCCTGCAAACCCGACAAAGAAGATCCTCTTGTTTCATTTGCTGTCCTTAGGGCAAGCCATCTCCCTCGTCTTGAGTCTGGCAAGATGAAAACATAAGCCAGGTCCTTTCCCTGTGCTGTGGCACCATAGGGTGGCTTGTGGTGGTGTTACTATCCTGGCTATTAGGCAGGTCCCTGACACTTTGTAAAGTATCTTTTCCCCTGAGAATTCTGTTAGAGCTGAAGCAGTGGGGGTCTTATGAAGGCCAGCTCCCTGCTGAGTCCTGCTGGGGAGTGTGTAGTTAGTTGTGAGGTGCTTGTATGAGTGTGTGTGTGTGTGTGTGTGTGTACAATAAGCAAATCAGTGATGACAGAAAGATGCCTGAGGAGTCTTGGTGAGGCTGTACAGTACTTGGAAGAAAACTCTTAAAGGAGACTTCCTAGACCTTAGTCCTGGCCCCATGTCCTCCTTCTTTCCCTTGCCTCTATAAAATGGGGCTAGATCACCTTTACTCACAGGGACGACCAGAAAGTATGGCGTGAAGGTGTCAAAAATGGCTTCGGGTTCCATCTCTGGAACTGAGGTCACTGGGTGAGTGGCATGCCATAAGTACACAGGGATGAGGGATGGTACAGACCTTCTTAATTTTCTTGATGTCACTGTCCTCCTCATTGGGGGTGACAATCTGGGTGGACTGGATGCGTTCGTTGTTCTTGAGCAGGGATGCAATCTGCAACAGAATCACAGGTCAGCAGTGGGTAGGGGACACTGACCAGCAGGCAGTGGCAGCGCCCGAAGCCTGGGTCCTCTGCCGAAAGAGTCCACAGTGTTGTGAGCTGAGCCTCCTGTGACTAGCGTATTGTCAATGAACCACACATGTCCCAGATGCCTACATAGCATGCTGCATTGGAACAAGTCTACCTTGGATATCTCGGGGCCATCAGAGTGCAGACAAGGTCCTTCTAGGTATGAGGTGGTGGCTATAGCCTGATCTATGATTCACCTCCATGTTCTGCAAACCACAGATCCCTTTTATTTTATTGTGGTATGCTACACAAGAAGACAAAAGTTTCCATGTGAATCTTTTTTATGTGCAATGTATTTGTGTGTGGTACGTGCATGTGTGTGTAGGTGAATGTGCACTTGGTCCTGCATATTGAGTCTTGAGGACTTTCCTTGATTGCTCTCCACCTTTAAATTTTGAAACAAGGTCTCTCATTGACCCTGAAGCTCATCAATTCAATTAGGATGGGTAACCAATGAACTTCAAGGATCCACAGGAGGCTGGGATTACAGGCATATCTCACCATGCCTAACTGTTTACTTGGGTTCTGGGGATCTGAACTCAGGTCCTTGTGTTTGCGTGAAAAAGACCACAGCAGCTCCCTAGCCCCCATCAATTATTTCTTAAACAAAGATTTGTTTATGTACACACACACACACATTCATGGAGGTCAGAGGACAACTTTCAGGAGTCCATTCTCTCCTTCCACGATGTGGGTTCCAGGATTGGATTCACATGGTTAGGCGGGAGGCAAGTGCCTTTACCTGCTGAGCCATCTCATTGCCTTCCCCAGTGAATCCTTGTTTAGTGCATTGTTCAGTTGGTGTAGCCAACATCAGCAACCCTCCCTGGGATCTTCAGATGGGAACTCCACCCATTATACAGTAAGTCCTTTCTCCTGCAGCTGGTGACAGCCACAGTGCTGCTTTTCATGGCTGTGAATTCTACACCAGGAATCTGATATGGACTTATTTGGTATTTTGCTTAGCATTGCACCCTCAAGGTTCATCCTTTTTATAGCCTGTGTCAAATTTTCTTCATACACATCATCATCATCATCATCCTTTGTACTCATATATCCCCTTCTTCCTGTCCTTCTGTGACCCCCCTGACCCTTTCAGGCTGTTTCTCTTCCTTCTCCAAGATAGCATTTTTTATTATGTGTATCATGTGTATCCATCACCCACTTTCCCTCCAATTCCTTTAGAACTCAACTTCCCCTCTTGGGATTCCTTTTAGTTTCACAAGTGACACAACACACACAGAAACACACACACACACACACACACACACACACACACACACACACACACTCTAAATCTAGATTCCACATATGAGAAACCGTGCAGTTTTCTATTTCTGCCTTATTTCATTTAATGCAGTAATGCTCAGTTCCATTCATTTCTCACAAATGTCATTATTTTATTTCTCTTTATGGCTGCTTTAAGTCCCACATGTGTTATGTACGTTGTTTTCCTTGTGCATTCATCTGCTGGTTTCATGTCCCAGCTACTGTGAATATAGTAGCAATGAACATGTACATACAAGTATCTCTATGATAGACAACACTCACCCATTTGCAGATATTGGCCTGTCCTCTGTCTTCCCAACAAAAGCACATGGTGGGATAAATCAGATCAGAGCTGGTGGCTTAGAGGACAGCTCTGTTGGCTGGCCTCTCTCCTTCTGGGTTACCCTGAAGCACTTCTTGGCATCAAAGGTCTCTTTGGAGCTTAACTACTTGCCCAGAAAGCGAAGGTAGCCCGCAGAATATCTAAAACAACCTCCATTTGTCTTATTTGGGGATCACAGAGGATCAAGACCAAGGGTTGGTGCCCAGGAGCTAGACAACGTGTCTGTCTGAGACTGTCCCAGTGGACAGGCCAGTGATCATTTTGTAGTGGGGGCTCACATAATATAAAAAAGGACTTTCTATTGAAGAAAAGTCATCTGTTCTCTCTCCCTGCTTTGCTGAGAGTTCTGCAGAGTGACTAGAGTTATTCATTACAGCTCCTGGTGGCTAGCACAGGACCCAGCATGCAACACACCCTTGTTAGCTGAAAAAATAAGTGAATCAAAACCGATCAGAGCAACAGTGACCTCAAAACCCCCAACCACAGGAAGCTATAGCAGTCACTGAGCCCCACACATCTAAAGGCAGAAGCTCAGGGAATTCTATAAACACAGCTTCCGGCATGCTGCTCGCTCCTCAGAACATGAGGCTGCATGCCTTCAAGGCCACTTGCTGAACCTCAGGATGAATGGCTCTCAAAAATGAACCATTGAAGCCTTTGAAAGTAGAGTGAGCAGTTGCAGGCTCTCGACTCCTAGGCTGCTAAAATTACCCTGGCTGGCCTTCACTTGGAGAGTGTCTGAAAACATCTAACTGGAATGTTCAGTGGAGAGACCTGCTTGCCTGTTCGCTCACTTTTCCCTCTCTGTACTACTTCCTTATATTTTCCTCAATCCTTAAGTGTAGAACATTTACATGTTGAAATAAAAGGTCAATATTTTGGTGTGTAGTCTAAAAGGTTTATGGCACATACCCCCGAACCCCCTCCCCACACACAGAGGCAAGTAAGCACAGAGCTCTTCTGCGGCTAGGTCAACTCATTCCTCTTGGCCTGAAGGTCTTTATCTTCACACCATCCTGCTTTCTTCACCAGTTTTGATATTTGCACAGAGTGGGGTGGGTGATGATGTTTGTTGGGGGCCAGTCTGCATTTAAAATTGATGACGGGGCTGGAGAGTTGGCTCAGTGGTTAAGAGCACTGGCTACTCTTTCAGAGGACCTGGGTTTAGTTTCCAGCATCCACAGGGTGACTTATTACCCACTAAAACTTCAGAATCAGGAATCTGATGCCCTTTTTTGACCTTCTTGAATACCATGCACACGCAGTGCACAGACAAACATGTAGGCAACACTCATGCATATAGAATAAAAAAAATAAATATAAACAAAAGTTTTAAAAAGCAATTAAAATTTACAGTGCACTTCTGATAGGCCTTCTATAGGACATCTAATCAGTGGGGACCAGGGCAGAAAATAGACACAAGCAGACCTCCTTACATTATGCTGTGGTGCTCAGTGCTCAGACAGTCCTAACAGTCTTAGAGTCTTTAAAAGTCCTTTGTCCATTCATTTTATTTATTTGTATTTGTGGTGTTTGTGTGCTCTCATGTGTGCATGCCTCTGGAAGTCAAAGGACAACTTACACCAGTCACCTTCTTCTTCCCCCATGTGGGGATTGAACTCAAGGCTTGGTGACAAAGGCCTTTTTATCCCCTGAGTCTAGAGGATCTATTTAAGGATCAGGCTAGGAGCACAGCTCAGAAAGTTAGGAACTTGGGTTGTTGTAGGCATCTTAGGCTATGGCCGGTGATAACTCAGTTTTTCCCTTCTTGCTTCCCTTTGGTCTCTTCTAAGCTCACATGCTTCCTTTGTGTCCACCTCATCTGAAAATCCCAGTGGTGTCCGGTGTTGGGCTCTGTGTCAGGCAGGAGGCAGCTGGGATTGCAGGTGTGTACCACTACCTGGGAATCTGAGTCAAGACATTCATGAGACTAGCTGTGGAGGTCTGGACAGGAACATCCCCCATAGACTCATGCGTTTGGATACTTGGTCCATAGGGCATTATTAGGAGGTGTGGCCTTGTTGGAATAGGTGTGACCTTATTGGAGTAGGCATGGTGTTGCTGGAGGAAGTGTGTCACTCTGGGGGTGGGCTTTGAGGTCTCATAGTTCAAATTACACACAGTGTGGGACACAGTCTCCTTCGGCTGCCTACAGATCAAGATGTAGGACTCTCATCTCCTTCTCCAGAACCATGTCTGCCTGCATGCTGCCATACTTCTCGCCATGATGATAATGGACTAAACCTCTGAAACTGTAAGCCAGGCCCTGTAGGGGAAATGTTATCCACGCCCTCTTGAGGGCTGGCACAGGTGACACAGACCATGCACTCTAGGTTGTGGTCAGTGACATAGCAAGACCTTAAATATGAGGGTCGAATCCTGGCAGCTCTCTCTGTTCCATGGTTTACCTGGTTGTAGGGGACCGACTCCGTTGCATGAGTACTCTCCTATTAAAATATCTGTTCATCGCCATGCGTTGGTGGCACACGCCTTTAATCCCAGCACTTGGGAGGCAGAGGCAGGCGGATCTCTGTGAGTTCAAGGCCAGCCTGGTCTACAGAGCAAGTGCCAGGATAGGCTCCAAAGCTACACAGAGAAACCCTGTCTCAAAAAAACAAACAAAAAATTCTGTTCATCAAACTTGCTCTGACTCCTTAGCAATCCGCACTTTATTGCGTCTGGATTTATTTGGTGTCAGATGTGATCCCAGGCCTCCGAGAGGCCCAATTAAATGTTTTCCTTTATAAGAGTTGCCATGGTCACAGTTTATGCTGGAGAGGATGTGGAGAAAGGGGAACACTCCTCCACTGCTGGTGGGAGTGCCAACTGGTACAGTCACTTTGGAAATCAGTATGGCGGTTCCTCAAGAAAATGGGAATCAGTCTACCAGCAATTCCACTCATAGGCATATACCAAAAAGATGCACATTCATACAAGGACATCTGTTCAACCATGTTCATAGCAGCATTATTTGTAGTAGCCAGAACCTGGAAGCAACCTAGATGCCCCTCAACTGAAGAATGGATAAAGAAAATGTGTTACACTTACGCAATGGAGTACCACTCATCGGAAAAACAAAAACAATGGAATCTTGAAATTTGCAGGCAAATGGATGGAACTAGAAAAAACCATCCTGAGTGATGTAACCCAGTCACAAAAAGACAAACATGGATGGTATGTACGCACTCATATATGGATATTAGACATAGAGCACAGGATTACCAGTCTACAATTCACTCTTCCAGAGAAGCTAGGAAATAAGGAGAACCCTAAGAGAGACATATATGGTCCCCCAGAGAAGGGGAAAGGGACAAGATCTCCTGAGCAAATTGGGAGCATGGGGGGGAAAGGAGAGGGAGTTAGGAGAAAGAGAAGGGGAGAAGAGGGGAGAGGAGGACATGAGGGAGCAGGAAGATTGAGTTGGGGGAAGAATAGAAGAGAGCAAGAAAAGAGATACCATAATAGAGGGAGCCATTATAGGTTTAAAGAGAAATCTGGCACTAGGGAAATGTCTAGAGATCTACAAGGATGACACCAACTAACAATCTAAGCAATAGTGGAGAGGCTACCTTAAATGAGATTGATGACTACCTTATATGCCATCCTAGAGTCTTCATCCGGTAGCTGATGGAAGCAGAAGCAGACACCCACAGCTAAACACTGAGCCAAACTCCTGGAATCCAGTTGCAGAGAGGGAGGACTAATGAGCAAAGGGGTCAAGACTAAGTTCGAGAAACACACAGAAACAGCTAACCTGAACGAGGGGGAGCTCATGGACCCCAGACTGATAGCTGGGAAACCAGTATAGGACTGACCCAGATCCCCTGAATGTGGGTGTCAGTTAGGAGGCCTGGGCAATCTATGGGACCCCTATTAGTTGATGAGTATTTATCCCTAGTATACGAATGGACTTTGGGAGCCCATTTCACATAGAGGGATACTCTCTCAGCCAAGACTCATGGGGGAGGGACCTAGGCCCTGCTCCAAATGATATGACAGACTTTTAATATCCCCCATGGAAGGCCTCACCCTCCCTGGGGAGCAGAAAGAGGATGGGATAGGGGGCCAGTGGGGGGCAGGGGAGAAGGGGAGAGAGAGGGAACTGGGACTGACATGTAAAACAAGATTGTTTCTAATTTAAATAAAAAAGAATTAAAAAAAAGAGTTGCCGTGGTTATTGGTATCTTTTTATAGTAATAGAAACCCTAATTTAGAGACACCAGCCTAGGCTAATAAGGCATGGCCAGAACAGTGGTGTGTATCCACTGTGAAGAACAGGGCATTTTATTGGAAACATTGCTCCAAATTCCCATCAAATGAGCCTTTTCTGCCATTACACACACACACACACACACACACACACACACACACACAGAGGCTCCTGACTGGCCCGTATTCTGCTCCTAGCCACCCAGGGGCCTCTGCTCTCCCCACCTGTGCCTTCTCTGGCCCACAACTGATAAAAGTATTCAAGGCCAAGTGCAAACTGAGCTTATACCCTCTGGCTTTCAAACATCTTGTCAGGACCAGGGCTCACACAGCACCATTGTGACCCTGTTCCCACTCTAACACAGAATACTAGAAAGGCAGACTTCTTCTCACTCCTAGAGCCTTCCGGAGCCTGCACGCACTCACTCACTCACTCGCTCACTGACTCACTGACTCACTGACTGACTGACTGACTGACTGACTCACTCACTAAGCCCTCACAAGCTATCATGCCCGGCAAGAGGGGTCGAGTGGTAGCAGAGACTGCCCAACCCTTATGGGGTTCCTCCAGGGCTGCTGGTAGGTACAGACACACAGGGACCATTGTGTTGAGCTTCAGAAAGTCTTGTGAGCAGAGGGGACCTAAAGCACATGTTGGTCAGGAACCCCATCGGGAGGTGGCTGTCCTTGGCAGGATTTGGCTGGGATGAGAAACATGAGCGTGAGAAAGGTAGGCCTAAAAGGTGCAATGACGTGTGCAAAGGCCAGGGGGTAGGACAGTTAAGTGCTCTCGGATGCTGGGTGGTGCTAGGTGACTGCACAGTCCCAGTTAGTAATTGGGTAATGGGGACACAGCCCTTCCCTGGTCTCGTGTGTGTGTGTGTGTGTGTGTGTGTGTGTGTGTGTGTGTGTGTGTGTGTAGGGTGGGCAGCTATGTTTGGATTCAGGAAGCTGTGTCAGGCTATCATAGATCTCAGGGCTTCTCTCTCCCACAATGAGCCAGTTGTGTTGGAAAGAGGACAATTTTGGGCTAGCCTCTCAAAGGCTGTCAGAGGCTCTGTACAGAGAAGAAAGACTAGCAGATGGACAGGAGCCTGGGTTCCGGGTCTAGGTCTGTCACTTCTCAGCTGTGCATGTTTAGACAAGTGACCTGAGCTCTCTGAGTCTGGTTCCTCACGGCTTCTCCTACTGGGATGGCAATGGGGGCTGATGAAGGAGGTGCGTCTGAAGTCTTGTTGTAGGGTTAGAGATGAGTCAAATGTGGGAAGTTAAACATGACGCTGTAAGTTGGTATTACTGCTGGTGTAGAGCATTGATGTTGCCGGATAATTAGGATTGGTGCTCTGAGCATCTGAAATTTCTGGACAGGGCTGTGTGGCACCGGGCCACAGCTACAGGTGTGGGAAGGGGTTCTGTACACAGATAATCCTGTACCCGGGGCTTCTAGCTCTGTGGTTGACATCTGCATATTCTTCATCCTTTCCTGTTGGGACTACATTTTGAGGGAAGCCTGCTGGGATCAGGGAGTACAGTCTGGGGATTGCAGGCCTGGGTCACACAAACCCTCACCTCTCACTGCACTCTACCTCCTTAGGTGGGCTCTTGCATGTCTTTTCTCCACATCCTGCCATCCAGGGTGCCACATGAGCTGCTAGGAAGCATGCCTGTGCTCCGAGGAGTCCGCAGCATCTCCTGGCATGGTATCTAACTGCAGGTTCCCATTCGGGAGTTCTGGGGTCACCCAAAGCCTTGGTAAATAGTGAGTGGCTAGGTCCAGGAGGTGTTTGCAGGACTTCTGCCCAATGAGGCTACACACAAGGAGAGCTTGATCACGTGCCGTCAGAGGCACGCACTAAAAGTCTACGATTTGCCATTTGACACTTGGGTATCTGGTGCACACATACAGAGAGTTCATAGCAATGACTATGGGTGATATTGCACTCCAGAGTCCAAGGCTAACAATGGCGACAGTCAATGTGTCCTTGTACCCTCTAATAACTTGTCCACAAACATCTCACTCATCCTTATCACTTGGTTAGGTCATAGCAAAGACCCTGCAATCTATGAAACAACTCAGAAGCAAAGACGTGGGGGCACACTTCAGGTGGCACTTGGGAAACACAGAGGAGGAGGAGTCTGGGCTTTGATCCAGTCTGGGGGCCCCTGGCTTGTAGTCACCTCTGCCTTCAGTCGCTCGATCTCGACTTCGCCATCCTCGATCTGCTGTCGCAGCTGCTTGGCCACTGTCTTCTCTGTCTCTACTATCTGCAGCAGGTGCAGGTACTTCTGCATGAGCGCCTCGTGCTCCGTGGCCAGTGTCCTGTAGCTGTGGACAGAGTTGCATGGCAGGTGAGATGCTGCCCCCCTGTCTCTAGGCCCTACACACCCCATTGCACACCAACATCTGCTTGCTTTATTAGCCTGATTCTCTTTGCTGTGCTCTCTCTCTCTCTCTCTCTCTCTCTCTCTCTGTCTTTGTCTATATATCATACATACAGAGACATGCTCGCGCGCGCGAGCAGACACACACACACACACACACACACACACACACACACACACACACACAGAGAGACTCTCTGTCTCTCTGTTTCTCTCTCTCCCCCTGGGATTTTGTCTAGGTAGATAAACATTTTATAACATATCCCCGGCTGCCCCACTTTCCCTAACTCCATACTTCTTCTTAGGCTACTTCTGGGATTCAGCTGAATTGCCTTGGAGGACTCTGGGGATTTTCTTTCAGCACCCGAGCTTCTAGTAGCATGATGATGGAGGGAGACACACTACACTGTGTGCCTAAAAAGTACTCAGCGTACACTTGCTGCACGCGAGGGTGACCACAGATGCACTCATCAGGCCTTGCGGGATATACAGAGGACAAGCAGGCACACACATCTCATTGTTTGTTTGGGTGATGCCGCTGCACAGGACACACAAGTGTCAAGTGGCGAGTCACAGGTTCTTAGTGTATGCTGCTAAGGAGAGGGTCAGCCACAGGGACTGCGACCAGGGAAGACTTCCAGGAGGTGCTAGGTGACACACCACCAAGTTGGAGCTGAGACTTTTGACTCCAAACCTAGTTCCTTGGGTACATACCCACTTTCAGGAAGCCCTGGGTAGGACAGTTGTGCTGGCAGTAATTGATAATGATGTGAGGTGGTTAGGTGGCACAGATCAGTGACAGCCCCAAAGGATAGGCAAAGTGGGGGAGAAGGTATCTTATCAGATTCCCAGACTAACATGTAGCGCACAGATGGACACAGTGGCCGAGCAGGAATGAGGTAAGAAGTAGCTTGCCTAAGGTCACCACTTCCCTGAAGAGAGACCCTGGTCCCCTGTGTTCTGGGTGTGGGCTTCTCCCTGCTACTCCATGGGAGTGCATCAGAGATGTGGAAGAATCTGACCCCATGAAGAGACTCAGTGGGCTTGGAAAACAGGACTCCAGTATCTCAGAGTGAGGTGTCTATCCAGATGGGGTGGAGGCCAGGAAAAGGGCGGGGCCTTGGAAGGGAAAGGTTGGAGTTCTCAGGGATAATGAGGTCTGGGTCTGTCTCCCTCACTGTTTCTCAGATTCTTTTTCCTGTTTCAACCCACCATTACCTCAGAGCTACACCTCTTTCTTTCCTCTCTCACACCCAGCCATTCCTCTGTATTCCTGCCCTCTTCTCACTCAGTAAGGGCTGTGGCTCCTTTCTTAGCAGTAGTGAGGGGCTCTCCTTCTCATCTCTTGATTGGCAGGGCCAAGGATATTCTATATGGCCGTCCAGCCCCTCTGCAGGTTCTCCTTCAGAGCAAACTGCCTCTGCTCTGTCACACGCCATCCAGCATCCAGAAAAGGCTCAATTCTTACCCCTTTAGAACAAACTAAGCTGTCCTTCAACCTCCCTAGATCTACCTGTTCTGTCAGAGTTATCGGACTGAGAGGGATATGATGTTAGGAAACACATCCCAGTGTGTTTGTGAGAGAGTTTCCAGAGATGATTAACGAAGGGCTTGGAGGACTTGCTTTAACTGGAGTGGCACCGCAGTTGGAGGTCCAGAAGGAACCAAAGGGGAGGAGTGAGGAAGCCTACTAGCCAGGACATTCTCTCTGGTTGCCACACAATGAGCAGCTTCATTCTGCTACAAGATCATGTCATGATGGCCTACCCCACAACAGTCAAGAACAGAGCCAATAGAGGGCTGGAGCTGCAGAAACCGTGACCAAAATAAACTTTTCTTCCTTAAGGCTGCCCTCAGCTATCTGTCACCTTCTTTCCCACTTGCTTAACATGGTTTATTGAAAGAGCTGCTCACCCAGTGCCTCCTAGCACTTTCTTCACCCCAACAACACAGCATTGGCTCTTGGCACCCATACCAGCTGGCTCCTGCTCTGGGGTCACCCACTATCTCCTACTGGTGAGATTGATGGAATGTGAGATTATTTTAGTCTGCCAGCTTCTGCCGTTATTGCCATGCAGCCCTGTACACAGCTGGCTGGTGAGGGAGGTCTTTGTCTCAGCCTTAGGAGCCTGCCACATGAGCTCACAAAGTCTCTGTGACCCTCAGGGTTTGAGGTGAGACTCTTAGGAGGCCATGATGGATGTAGCCTTGCAATAAAGTAGGGCTGTGCCAAAGAGCCAAAGTAGTCAGGGTACCTACAAAGGGCCCTGTTCTCTGATGATGCCAGAAGATGCTATCTTGGGGTGGGGAGGGGGGGGGGAGGCTGGCTGCCACCATATCCTGAGGGTGGGAGTATAGAGCAGGAAAGGCTTGCTTCATCAGACTCAGTATGGCTGTGGCAAGGAGGGAACCGTGGAAGGATGGAGGTCCAGAGAACTGATCTCTGTTCTTAGTGCCACCCTTTCTTAAGTAATGGCTGTGAAAGATGTCGTTCCAACATAACACTAGGAGATAAAAACGGCACTCTGGGCACTTTTTTGTGAAAATGAACACAGACTCGAAGGGCTTTCCAACTTCCTAAGATACTTAATTGTCTTCACTTGCAAGCAAAATTCAATTGCAAGCGAGGAGTCTGCTTCCACACCACTTGCCCCTTCACACAAGGGTGTGAAGCAAGGCTTCTTCATTAGTCTAGGTTTACTAATGACAAACACCCCAGAGCTTCTTCCCTTCCCTCCCCACTACCCTCCCCTTTCTTTTCCCCTTTCTTCTCCCAATACCCCACCCCTTCTTTCCTTTTCCCTTTGCCCCCACCTTTCCTTCCCTTTCTAACCCCCTCCCTTCTACCTCCCTTTCTCCTTCCCTTCTCTCTCCCCCTTCCCTTCATCCCCCTCTCTATTATGCTTTGAATGTCAAGTTTCATGTGTCAAAAAATAAGCACAGGGAAAGCTGGGGCCAAGAACAGCAGGGCTGATGCAGAGATTAGGGCTGTTATAGAGGAAACTGTACATGGGGGATGGCTCAGTCAGGGAAGTGCCTGTCACTTAAGTGGGAGGAATTTAGTTCAATCTCCAGAACCCAAATTAAAAAATAAATAAATAAAACAGGCTGCGATGGTGTGTGCTTTTAATCCCAGCACTGGGGAGGTAGAGGTAGGCAGATCTAGCCTACTCTGAGAGCTCCTGTCCAGTGAGACACCTGAACACACACACACACATACATACATACATACACACATACACACACACACACACACACACACACACACACACACACACACACACACACACACACACACACACACTCCAGATTCCACCCATTACAAGCTCAAGGATATTTGAAAAATTTTGCTTTGAGAAGTCATAGGGAACCTATGGAAATCCTTCCCTGCATCAAGCCAGTAAGTACTCAGAGGCAGTTGCAGGTGTAAGCCAAACGGATGTGGCTGCTGCTGGAGCCAGAGGCAGAATCTGATGTTAGCCATAGGATACCAGTTTTAGAAGCAGGCAGGACATAAGAGTTGTGGGTCCCGGAGGTTTCCACCCAGATTTCAAAAGAAAGCCTGGGAAACTGTGGGTGATCCTTGAGAGTGAAGTTGTGAGACTTGAAGATGAAGCTCCCGGAGCCCTTAGGAGGTTGGGGATACCAAGAATGGGGGACATCTGACAAGGAGAGTTTTAGGAAGTGAACAGAGGCTTCTGAGAGGTCACATTGAGGAACTTGGACTTGATAGACTGCCTGAGGCAAACAGAGAGGGAGAGGGGCCATGACTAGGTAATAAAAATGGTGAACTTCCAAGACAGCTGGCTTCTTCCTCACCTCCTGACTTAAGACAAATACCTGACGAAAGGCCTTAGGGGCTGTTTGTCTTGTCAGTAGGGCCCTCTGCTGATGGACTGGCTCAAGGAGTCCCAAGCTGCATCAGGAGGTGTTTACACAGCAGCTGTAGGCCAATCAGTCATCCTTTCTTTAAACTGAGCAACCCTATGATAGGGAAGGGACTGTAAAATACCCCAGTCATCAATAAGAAGCCATGCTTCGGCTTCCCCGTCTTCCCTCTGCCTTGCAGGGGATCTTTTCCCTGTGTGCTTGCTGTCTGTGTACATTTCTTCACCTCTGACTAAAACCTTTCTAGACCACCTGTAATAATAACACCCTTCAAGGCCCAGCTACCCACTTCCGCCAATTTGATTTAACCTTCCACAGTCTCTACTGTCTCTCAGCAGTCCATTCAATTTTGAACTCATCCAGGGGCAGTCCACTGACTAGGTCAGAGAATTCCCCTGTGGCTACCTTTTGTGATGGAGATTTTTTTCCTGCCTTTTAATTCTTTAACTGACAAAAGAAATGAACCTGATCAAGACCCCTAGATGGTAACAATATAAGCTACAGCCAGAAAAGACTACTGGGGTGAGACTTTCCAAGCCTATTGGAGCTCATACCATGCCCCAGATCCTGGGTATACTCATGACATGACCTGGATACCCAGACATGGAGCTAAATGGTATAATTAATGCTCGTCTGGCTGGGTGTTGGTCTCATTCCTCCTTCTATGTTTCCATTTCTCTCTTTGGGAAAAGGGGAGGGTCTTATTACTATATGTTAGAAGCACACGCCTTCCTCTTTTATTTCATAGGTGTTCATAGCTACTGATGCCTTGAGTCATTGAAGAGTTTAGAGTTGGCCTTTTGAGAAATTCTGGGTCTGTTAAGACTAGAGACCTTTGAAGACATAGTAAATATATTTTACAGTGTGAGATGGCCATGGCCCTTTTGGGGCCAAGGGAAGAATATACTTTAGTCTGGAATGTTCGTCATGGTCTGATGTTTAAAGGATTGGTGGTCAGTAGATGGGCTTGGGGAGGAATTGTGAGGGCTCTGACCTAATCAGTGGACTGGCCCTTGTGGATTGTAGGGAGATAGCAGAAACTGGAAGGTTCAGTTT